GCGGAGTCCGCCATCCTTCTTCTTGACGAAGAAGACCGGAGACGCCATCGGAGACTTGGAGGGGCGAATCCGTCCCGTCGAGAGCCCTTCCTCGATGAACGCGTCGAGCTCGCGTTGCTCGAGGGGCGAGATGGGGTACACCTTGCAGTTGGTGGGCTTAGCATCGGGGACGAGTTCAATGGCGTGGTCCCAGGCTCTCTGCTCCGGTAGCGTGTCGAAGGACTCCTTGTTGAAGACGTCCTGGAACTCCTTAGCCCAGTCCGGGATCTCGGAGGGCGGAGGGGCAGAGTTCCTGGCAAAGGCTTCGGCCAGGCGCTGTGAGATGGTGCTACCTGCACATATCCCCTCCGAGGGACGAAACGAGGTGTAGAAGATGCGGTCACCATCTTCGAGCTGGTCATCCTCGTCGTCCGAGTCCGAGTCCGGTGTCAGATCGGGCAGGTCGGAATCGAGACCGGAGTCGGAATCGTCTCCGTCCTCAGGGCCAGAGAGGTCCATAGTGCAAACCAAGGGGAACGGGTCGGAGCGGAGACGGTTCTGGAGCAACCGGAGTCGCTGCAACTCGGTCCGTTCGACACGTTCCTCCTCGCGGCAGGTCGAGCAATTGCGGGGACACCGTGTCATCTTGACCTCTTTGGTTTCCCAATTGATCTCTGGGTTGTGTTTCCGCAACCAGGAGTACCCCAGGATGAGGTCTTGCTTGCCAAGATGGGTGACGGCCAGTTGAACTCGTTCGGCATGGCCTTTGTAGCGCAGGACCAAGTCCGCGATCTGTTTGATGGAGCCAGCGTCATTGGGGGTGCCGTCGACATTGAAGACCGGGATCGGCTGATCAAGAGTGCGGACCGGAATGCCATTCCGAGCGACATAGTTCGTGTCAATGAAGTCAGAGGTGGCACCACAGTCGACAAGCCCAGAGAGCGAGAGCTTCAATGCACTGGTGGTGGACTCGAGCTCCAACGGGAGGTGGAGGGAGTTCGCCCCAGGGGCAGCGGCAACAGTGTACTGCTTGGGCAGTTTCTTTTCCCAGGCAGTGAGGCGGTGAAGGACGATGACCGGAGTCGCAGGCGGAGTTGGAGACGGAGTCGAGGCGGGGGCAGGAGAGGGTGTGTCTTTCGTTTCGGGCGGATTGTAGGGCAAGGAACTGCATTCATCATACAAAGAGGCAAAACGATTTATAGACGTGAACGAGGGCACACCAGTCACTCGTCGCGGGGGACAAAATCCTCTCCGGCCATCGACTCCGCTGCCGTCTCCGGCAGGGCAGCTGTGTCCGTGTAGCGGGCGATCAACTCCGCTAACATCTCGTCACGGAGTTGTTGGATCACCTCATCGAGGATGTCCATAGAGCGGACATCGGCGGGGAGGGGGCAATCCCGGGCGAGATGATTTGGGTCACCGCACCTGAAGCAGGCGCGACGAGGGGCATCCTGAGCCCTGGTGTGATCCAACTCCATAGGGACGGGAGCTGGAGGCGCCGGAGCGGGGGCGCAGGCCGCGGGTGGCACGACCAGAGCCACCGGGTGGAAAGGGGCCGAAGGTGAACGGGGGGGTTTGGTCGCAAGACCAATTTTGAGGCGAGGTTGATGTTGCCAAAAAGGGCTTTGGAGTCGCCCTGGACCGGAGTCGGAGTCGGAATCGACATCTCCGGCGATGGTGTTTAGGGTCCGCCAGCATTGTTAGCAGCGGCAGCGGCAGCGGAAGCCTGGTTGGTGAGTAAAGCAAGGGCCTCAGTTAGGCTATCGATTTTCGCCTCGAGTGAGTCCAGCCGGGCGTCTGCGGAAGGAGTGACTCCGGACGGCATGACGGGTGCGGGGACCACAGGAGTAAAGGAGGAGGGGCCAAGTGGCAGGGGCGGTGACGAGGGCGGAACGGACTCGTACTCCGAGCCTGAGTCAGCGCCGAACCTGGCAATCTTGTCCGGTTGATCCCATCGAGAGTTTCTTCTGCTGTAAGGGCAACCCCGGAGGCCTGAGATCAAGGTCTAGCAGGGGAGGATCCAAAGCGTGAACATTGGTAAGCGAATACAAAATGAAGCTGACCTAGCAGGGGAGGATCCAAAGAGAAGAACCTCTAAGGGTCCACCTGCTAGGGAGCTGACTATATACTGCTTGTCCGTAGCTGCCGCTGTCGGGCACAGAAGGCTTGGGCGGCGTCGCAGGTGAGGTCCCAGGGCGACCGTCGGGAGGGCGTTGACGGATCGGTGATTGTGCAGGCGAGATGGAGGGCTGGACCGGAGTCGGAACCGGAATCGGACCGGAATCGGGCGCGTCTCCGGGCCGAAAGGGAGGTTCCCCTGACACAAAAACCCTTTTTCTTCGCCCTTTAAACCTTTTATTTTGTGACACTCTGTCACTTATACCTATAGCTACATATTATTTATTTTGATATTGTAATATTTTGTCATCTTGTTACACTCTTAGAACAAAACTTTTTTTTTTCATCACTGTCATACTACACATATTACATTGGAAAGATCACATGTGGCTTGACAGCTTGAACCTGCTGTGCTGAACTGCATAGTCTACGATAATATAACCGGTTCATTCATAATAAGTCATATTTGGCTGAGTATATACCGTACTATTACAATCAATTTGGCATATCACAGTCATACCCAATTTTCGGAAACACTGTGAACAATTTCCTATTTATTTTTATTTTTATTTTTATTTTTTTTTTAGATTTTTGGGCAACTTTTTATTCTATCAAAAGATCATCTGACCAAATTAATCCATTTAAATACATTTGATCTTAGTCATTTTTACTGTTACATGGCATAACTGTGGGGTTTTGAGTATGTATTCTCAGTGGTCATCCCCACAGAGCCCTGTATATCTGCTCAAAGCAGAACAATGACACCTGTATTCAGTTTATAGTATAATGGACTTACCCAGGATTTTTGCTTCTTGTGTATGTGACTTGAAAAATCCTTGTTGTGGCCCTGAGACAGGAGTGGCTTCATTGCTGATATGAATGGTCCTGTCTGTGGTACTGATGTCTTTTAAACTGATGTTTGCTGTCCTAGAACCATGGAAGAATGCCCGGATGTTGAGATTTGTGAGCTAGATATGAGTTAAAACATTTCTCAAGAATACTTCATTTGCAGAAATACCATTGTAATAACATATATCCGGCCAAGTGTATAGCCAACACCCATAGGAACTAGTAAAAATTGTCAGTTAGTCAATGTAGTAGATAATAAATGAAACACCATTGCTCTGCTCATTACACAGGTATGTGATCAATGCAATCACAGCTAAGATTGCAGACACTGATCCAGTTTGGATGGCCAGAATAATAAGTCTATTAATCATGCTGCTCCAACTTATTAATAACTAATCATTTTTGATAAAATAGGGGCAGACCTCTGAGTTCTTTTAACATTGCTTTTCACTTTTGCAAACTGCCAGATCAGTGCAGCTGCGATGAGTAGATCTGCTATGGCCTCAAAGGAAACCCAGAGACTATGGGAATTAGAAAATCCAAATAATCGGAGATAATTTCAAAAACAACCTACATGGCAGGAAGTTTAATTCTATCTCGAACAATATTGGATGGCAGATGAGCTATCAGGATAGCCGTGGCAAAACATGATCCAGTCTAGATTAATTATCAGAATTTGAATTTAGATCATAACATGGCACAGACAGCAATAAGAATGAGTGCAGATAAGAACAGAGCCACAAGAGTATTTTTTGTACTAAATCAGAGGATTAGTGACCTGACTTTTTTATTGAAGTAGGGGCGTACAATCGCCAATATCTAGCCACCAGGAATGCTTGCACTTGTGCAATAACAATCCAGGTTGAGAATGAAAGTAAGGGGATAGTCTGTGGGGTGTAGAGTCAGTGAGCTTGGAAAGAAGGATGCAGATACAGAATATACTGACACTGTTTTTCTGGGCAAGATACTGTGGCTCAAATGCATGGGTGACAGTGTAGAGGTAGACCTCTGCAAAGCTACTGAGCATGGCCACAGTGTCAATAAGCCAGGTGCTCAGCACCACTGTCTTGATGTACCACTTGTCTTTGGGGAAGAAATGGAAGTAATAGATGACCTGGCCAAGCTCAATACTGTAAAGCAGCTACCAGAGCATGAATGTTGGAACAAGGGATTGTGATCACTGGGAGGCCATACAGAGCTAACCCAGGTCCCAATCAACAAGGCACTGCCAGTGGGGAAGAATTATCAAGCACTCTATGCATGACACAAGAGAGGTACATACCCAGTAATGTTATCCATGGGGGGCAATGACTGGGTAGACATGCTACTGGCAGAGGATGGCGACTAGTAAAGGCGGCAGGCCGCAAGTGTCTTAAATGCCCAAACTTCAGTCGGTATATTCCCAGCGGCACCCGGCCGTGTTGTGAACCCGCATTTCCATCAGTCCGATCTCGAAAATTGACCACAACAATCAAAAGGTGGGAACATGAAGTGTGCATATTGATGATTGTAGGTCTCAAGTCCGAGCTTTCATCTGTTAAAATTTCTGATAATCAGTCATTTATTTTTGAAAACACAGATCATCCTTTTTAAATCAAGGTTCAAAAACTGTATCCATTTCATTGCTTATTTCTTACCCAACGGCGTGCCCAGCCGAGCGTGAACTCCCCTAATAGGTGAGACTCGCAGCATCGTTATCATGTGATTTTGCTCCCAACAGTGCTAGGGGTGCCTGAAAACACATAACTTCCCAAATCCCGATCTGTTGTTGGTCACCGAACAAGACAGCTGCGGGATATATTCCCATGGTGCCTTGTTGTATCTTGTTCTTGAGACGGTTCTTGAGACGCTGACGTCTCACACTGCCGAGTTAACTTCTCTCACGCCGTGTTATATATATTTGCAGGGGTGATTTGCAGCGCCTGCAGGGCAACACGAAGCCTTTCATCTTTTATGCGATAAGTAGCTACAATAGCTTTGAACAGCTACAGAAAGAATACAAGATCTACATTCACAAGCAACTAACTACACGCACAAGAAGCGTAATACTGCAGCTACTTCAGCCCCGGGCGGACCCACACCTTATTCTCGTACAGCTTGCCATCGGACTTTGCCTTCTTCCCCGTCGCCCCCTCCCCCTCCCCCGCCTGCTCGTCCCATCTGCGCTTCCCGCCAATGCGGTCCTGCAGCCGCCCCGCCGCACCGGCGAACCGCGCACACAGCGTGTCCCTTACCCGGTCGTCGTAGCGCAGAAACTGCAGCCCGAAGCACTCGACCGTCGGCCGCCCGTCGCCGAACGCGGGGTTCCGCCGGAGCTTGGCGACGTCCTCGGGCGCGTGTTGGCGCACGTGCATCGCGCGGAAGAGCGCGGGCTGCGACTGCCATCCGCTTGGATCAGCGGACCGGGAATGCAATTCGGTGGACATACGATTTCGGAGGTCGGGAGTTCCCCGCCCGGTGTATACCCCGTGACCCCACGCAGGCTGAGCACGCGGTACACGCCGGCGTAGTATAGCCGCTCGTGGTGGCTGAAGAAGAGGTCGACCTCGCGCGATGCGAGCGACGTCAAATGCGTGTGCTCGCGCCAAGCATCGCCAATATATTCGTGTGTCGGCGCGTATGCGAGGGCATGGCCTCCGCGTGGTTCATAGCCTCCTCTCGGTGGGACCCACAACATGCGGCCAGGGAGGAACAGCGGGGGCCTGCAATTCGTTAGCGACCGGCGACGACGAAGAAGACTCCGCGGGTCTACCGGCTACTGGGGAAGTCCTGCAGAGAATCTTCAGAAATTGCTGCGGAGCCATTGACCATAATAATACCTCATAGATAGTGTCAGCGGAATCGAATCGCTCCACCGCATTGGCCTCATCGAATTTGTCCATGCGGAGGTTGCTGGGAAGAGGCAGGCTGTACATGTATTGGTTCAGGATTGTTCGCTCATTGGCCGGCTTCTGATAGAGGCTATCAACGAATTTATGACCCCGCATCGAGAGCATTTACCTCAGCATTCCATCGTGTGCTGGTAGAAGGAAGCGTTCGGTTTCTGTCGAGGGTAAACGACGGTTTTGTGAGTGTTGGGGAGCTTGAATATGGCGGGGGTGGTACGGCAGGACTGGGCCAAGACACTTCTCCAGGTTCCTTCTTGTCGGACTTGGGTGCAGAGAAACGCGAAATACGGGCTTGAGACGGTTGCTGCGTCGCGTTCCGCTCCTTATAGCGGTCCTATGTCCGAATACAGGTCAGAACTCGGTCGAGATCGAGCAAAGCCACGCACCTGGTCTTCCCTCCTCCGGCTGAGATGCTCATTCGCCTCCGTCAGCATCGCGTTCTCCTCCTCAAGCCTCGAGATCGCCCTGTCCCGCTCCCGCAATGCCGACTTCAGGCGCTCGACGTCGTCCTCCGCATCCTCCAATCTCTGGCTCGCCATCGATGAGCACGGTCCCCTGAAAAACACCAGCAGCGCACCTCAACAGTGTGCTTGAGCCGTCTCTGCACCATCTCCGCGTCTTCCCGCGCCTCGTTTGCCTCCTACTCCGCGGTCCACATCAGCGCCTTCACCTGCATATACCCGCCAGCACACGCACCTTGCCGAGCGCCTGGTTCTCCTCAACGAGCAGCACAAGCGCATGCTCCGCCGCCTGGACGTCCTTCGACTTCACCTCGAGCGCCTGCACGCCGTCAGCCAGGGACTGAGAACGAGGGACGAGAAAACTCACCGACTTGAGCTCTGCATTGTCCTTCATCACGGACACGAGCAGCGCCGCCGTCTCGGGCGCGGAGGCAGAGCGGTTGGGCGGCATCGTGGAGCAGGGGGGAGCTGTTTCGTCGCGTCCCTAGGCTTGCGCTGTGAGGGAGGAGGACAAGATGCGGCGGTGACTAAGCGATGTCGTCACGCCGATCGATTTCTCAGGCTTCCATTTTCTCTGTTTTGTAAGCTGTTGTGCTCAATCCTTTCTCGAGATCCAAACAGAAGAATCATGGTAAGCATTACTGTGCACTTATAGCACTGGTTGCTGTACATATTCCTCGTTACCAGCCATATGCTGGCGGCTCCAGGTCCGACTCGGCGGACAGCTCCGATTTCCGTGAGGCCGCCCACCTCGGGTCATCCAAGCCCTGCACGTGCGCAGTGCCATGCGCCGGCTGGAGCTCAACCGCGACTGCCACACCGAGCCGGGTCTGCTCGCCGGAGCGCCGGTTCCTGCGCTTCCGCCGTCCGCGCAGGCCGTACTCCTCCTTGTCGGCGCAGACGCCGAGCTGGCGGCCGACGAAGAACACGACGAGGGAAAGAAGGATGAGGCCGATGACCGTCGCGAGGGCGACGACGGCAAAGTGCGACTCGGACCCGTCGGGCGGGTCACCATCCAAGAAGGCGGTACCGGACGGCCCGGGGGGAGGCGTGGGATCCGTCAGAGGCGCGAAATAGTAGCTGGAGGCGGTTAGAAACACGAGAAGGAGCTGCAAAGATGACGCACGCACATAAGAGTGGGAGATAGTAGCCGCCATTACAGCAGCGAGAAGCGCCCGGGCGAACGGCTCGCCGGGGCCGGTGCACGCCGGTTGGTCGACGGGCGCAGTAGAAGCCCGAGACAGCTGCCCCAGGAAGAGGGGGCGAGGAAGGGGCATTGTAGGACGGTCGCTGCACGCTATATAGCTGGGGCGAGCACCGTGGCATGCCTGCTGACTGTGCGCATGTTTCTATCCCCGCACCAGCGCTTCGTTTCGCAGCTCAGTCGCCATTCTTGCGGAGTGGGGTGGATGGGATGCTGGTTGGGGTCAGGCACCGCCCCCGGGGCAAGGACGGACGGGCACGACGTTGGCGCGGCGGCTTCGTGACGGTTTTTGGCAAGAAGCGTGTCGGCCGACGGGTCCGATCGATCGGACTTCGATAATCAATCACGAACAGGCCAAGTTGCCGATGCTACTTGGAGCGCGGAGAGCTGCCTCAAACCATCGAACTCCCTCATCTGAGATGAGGAAGAGGTAGTCATTGGCATGGATAGATGCGCTGATTTATTGACAGATTTGTGATGCGCATGCACAATCTTGATTCAAGTTCTGGGTGTACCAGAGAGCTAACGTTTTGGCGTGCCCAAATGGCGTGCACCAGCGCCAAGTGGCGTGGCGTGGCGTGGGAGTGGCGTTTGGCTGGCGATCAAAGCCAACGCCAGCCCATCAGGCGTCAACGCCATTCTGTCGGCTTGGCACGCCAGACATTTTGGCATGGGCCGCCACAGATGCTGAGTGTCGCCGACCCTCACGAGCCTCAGTGCCGCCTTGAAAGCTTCCAGTAAGGGGCCTAGTAAGTCCCAGCAACGCCTAGCAACGACCAGCGTTCACGCCGGACTTTGATCCGAGTCTTCGAGTTGTGTATGCGGGTCCCGGGTGTAGCTACTTCAGCAGCGGTGTCGCGGGCCCGGCCGGGGTGCTCCTCGCCCAAGCTCCGCCAGTTGACAAGCTCTCAGGTCACCGCTGGCAGCAAGCAGGCATGTCAGAGGTTTGAGCCCGGGGGTGGCCGTCCGTCGAAGACAGCGGCGCGGGCGAATAACGCAAGCAGAAGTTCAACGGAAATCGAACGCGGTCGCCGGGCTACTGCTTATACTTGCCACCTAGCCACCTTGCGGAGTCCGGTCGACAGGCTCCAATGCGGCCGGCCGGTCGGCGCCACTCAGAGGTGGAGGGCTGTCACGGGTTCGATGACTCGGATCTGCCTGACGGTGCGCACTGGAGCGACAGAGCACCGCCAAATGAACTCCGGAGGAGCTCCGCGGGCCCCGACCGGCGGTACTGGTGGGCCGCGCCGAGTCCAACTTGCCAAGTGGGCTGGCCGCTCTTGGGTAGCGCTACCTCGACGCCTGTCTATGACACAAGGTGTCCCACAATGGCTTCTGAGACGCCCTCTGCCTTCTGAGTGCGTACGGGGAAGCATATAGTGCCCTCGTGGCCCTCGCCGGTGGATGCCGGAGGGGCCGAAGTGCACCGGTGGACGAGCCCGAAATTGTAGTAAGCCACTCTGTGGGAAGTGCTCATAGCCAGTGGGATGCATGGTGCAATTCAATCCATGTCGACCGACGATGGGGAGAATCCTCCGCCAGTGTCCAACGCCATCCCACGCCACGCCACAGCCATCAATGGCGTGCACGCCGGCGTTTGGCGGGCGCACGCCATTCGGCCACGCCACTATGCGAGCTCTGGGGTGTACCAGTACCTTGGAGATTTGTGCTCATTAGCGAGGCGATATCCAAAAGACCGTTGAAGAATTTGTCCGATTGTCAGACAGACAAGACCTGGCGCAGCCTGAGGTGATAACCACCCCTGAATCAGATCACCGCCCATACTGATGTGGAGCCGCTGGCGCGATTCATTCATCAATCCAGATTTGAACCCTTGCATCATGATATAAATAAGCACTATATTCAACTAGGGCTGTCCCGCCTGCCTGACTACTTACCCTATCATGCCCACCGCCCTGTCGCGCACACTCTCAATCCCCAGCTACCACAGTGTGCATAGCTGGTGGTCCGACCGGAACACTATCGGCGCCACTTTCGACCTGCACGGTGTGACCAAGCCCTTTGCACGCTATCTGCAAGGAAGAGCAGTGGACCGGCTACTGAAGGACACCAATGGAAAATTCTTATCCCATGCAGATTTGTCATTATTTGCATGCTACCTCAGGTACATAGGCAATAATTTAATTAATAAGTCCTATTCAGCATTTCTTCCTTAGGTCTGCTGATGTTCCAGGAACTGCCAAAGCCAAGATTATGTATTCCCTACAGGCTAGATATGGAAATTCACAACCAAACAAAGCTGAGAAGCTGCAGATCGTAGCCTGGGCTGTCTCTGAGTGTCAAGAGGTCTTTGGTCATTTTTTTATACAGAAAGATGGGAACTTCCCATCAATCTATCGCGAGCTTGAGATCAAGACCTCACAAATTGATCTTGTACTGCCCTTTGACCAGGCACCGCTGCACACTGCAACTGTCTCCCTTCTTTTGAAAATTTCTTCAATAGGCTGCCAGCTGCCATATGAGATGTTTTTGCCAAGTCTCATGGAATTTGGAGGAAATATAGCTTGGTAAGACCAATAAAAGAAACTGAGCATCATTTATTCAGGAATACTTGCAGGCCTCGGAGAACACGGCTAATACTAGCTGTCTTGTCCATTTTTGAGCCTGGGGCAAATGCACTTGCTCATGCTCTTTATACTGTTGATGCTGCTCCACATAACATTGAAGCTGTTATATGTGACATTGTGAAGATTCTCTTCCTTACAAGCATAAAGCCAGTATGTTGTGATATATACTGTGTTTTCTGGCTGATTATTATAGATAGCATCCATGGCTCCTGAATATAATTTCCATAATCTGCAAGCAGAGTTGACCTTTGACTCACACGCTGCTATTGAAAAGCTAAAGAATGTTGTTGCAACATCATTCAGACATCAAGCAGGATCTCATGGATCCACATTGCTGGATTTGCTCTGTGCTATGCCGCCAATTCTTGCAGCTGGACCAAACTCTCACACTTGGCACCAAATTATGTATTGGCTATGTATAGAGGGAGAAATCACATGGGGATTTCCTTGGAAAAGATCAAACTATCATCAACAGGCAGTTTATAATGAGAACCGGGATTTAGAAGATACAAGGCAAGTTATATATTCCTCAAACATTGATAATGTTAACAGCCCTTCACAGTGTGGGGCAAGCAGGAAGCAAGACTCAGAGCATCCAGCTCTTGACACGGGACCACCTGAATCTGTTCAATGCTATTGCTGGGTAGATTCTAAATCATTGTATATTTGTGCCAGTTTTAACTGTAGTGCAGAGACTCGACACTTCCATCATCTACAAGGGAGTGTGCCCACCTTCAAGTACAGGTACAAGTTTCTCCAAGTCAAAAGACACTACAAAGGACTAATAAACCCACTCTCTAGAGGTGCTCAAAATATTTAGATATTTAATCTCAGACCCAGTACATGGGGTCAATTTTGATATGTAAAGGATTCTTGCAGTTGCCATTCTTTGATTTAGTGTGGAAAGTTAATGTAATCTTGATGCCAAATGTGAAGGATGGTGTGACACAACACTGCTAAATTGAATTAAAATGTTAGGGTAAGGGGTAATATTCTTTTAGATAGGAAATAAATAAATAATGTAATCTTTTGAAACTAACTTCAAACAGCAAAACCTTATTTTTATGTTACTATATAATCTATTAAGTACATAGTGACCTGTGACCATTCTGAAAATTGGAAAATATTTCCAATTTGGAATTGGATTAGGACCTAAAAATTTGGCTGTGACCTGTGACCCATTGCAATACTTCAACATACCTGTGACTGGCCGAATTGAATGAAGTAGGTCAGTATTAGCAAACATATATTACTGTAGTAATTTATTCAATTTGGCAGTCACATATCACACCGGCCCTCTAGCACTGGAATATTTTGGCATGTCACGGGCCCACAGCCCGGATACCGAATGTCAAACAACCATCAGACCATCAAAAGATTTGGCAGCCTGCTAAATAGGCTGAAAATTTGCAGCAGTCACACACATTGACAGGCACCACCGAAAATTTACTTTCGGCACTGATGTCTTTCAAATTGAAAAAATTGCTACAGTAAGTACTTTTTTTAAATACTAGTAGTATGTAGTATGTTCCTGTTATCCAAGACTTAGGAGTAGTAGTAGCTTGACTATACGCACCTCCATAGGGCATTATGGTATAGCATGTTTCCATCCTTTATACCATACATAGCCATAGCTGTATACAATATGTACTATGCTCTAAAGCAACTAAGTTATATATTTAAAAAGTTGTATCTATGGGCAAACATGTATTGTATTAAGTAAGTAGCTTTTTTTTACATTGTGGCCCCCATACATTGAATATTTGGGCCTTAGGGGTGCTAGCCCACACCACCTGACAACTGTGGGGCCAAAACAAATAATATTAATTAAAATTTTAAATCATAGTTGAAGGTCCTGTACATTATCATTGAAAAGAACAGGAAATACTAATCACACGGCAATTATACTTTCAAAAGGCTTATTTCTTAGATTACACCGGAGGCATTGCCTGTGGCATCAGGCTGCCTGATGCTTTACGGGCATCAGGCGAGCCTCAGGCAAGCTTTGGCAGATGTGACAGGTCACTGCCATGAGGCTTAGCAATATTCCGTATTTTTATTTGAGTAGCTGCTATTCATGCTGCTGTAGGAACTGAGGGCACCTGTGAGACACTATTGAAATAAAAATAATTTCCTTATTGTTAATATGATAGAAAGTAATATTTAGATCTTTATATGCCTTCAAACCCAAACAAAGCTTGATAGTGGCAAAACAAGAGGTAAGATGGCTGACTCCAATAGCTACAGTATAGCTTAAGACTGCTTGCCATACATTGCATGCTAATTATGGCTAGCCTAACCATTAGTGGAAGCAGACCATTAGTAGCCTGCCAGTCCAAATCTGGGTATCCACACATGCCCAGAGGGGGAGGCTGCAGGCTGCTTTAGGATCTCCAAGAGGTGATCTATGATTTGGACTCCCCTATGTAGCTAAATAGTGGTCAGAATAGTCAGATGGGTGTGGGATGAGAGTTAAGCAGGTTTTAAAATAAAAAAAAACATCCCCCATAGAGAAATAAACTCAATTATAGTGAGATATAAGTAAGGGTCACACAACCAAGTTGTCCTCATCCAATACTGACTGCATACTTGAATACATCTCAAGTAAGAAGGGAATTAATTGTGAATTCAGAGTTATCTTGAATCATATCTAATCAATTTACAGCCTCATGGTCACCTCATGTCACATGCCAGAAGTTTGCTCAGTGCGCGCCTGATGCCCGTTAAGCATCAGGCAGCCTGATGCCACGGTCCATGCCTCCGGTGGTAATTACTTTGCTTTCAAAATGTTTTAGTCTGACATTGCATGTGTCGGGAAGTGACAGCCGGAGACTAGTGCCACGAGGTGTGACATGCGGTGTGTGATGGAGACTAGTGCCACGAGGTGTGACATGCGGTGTGTGATGTCAAGGCAACCTCTTTCTCATCTACTCTCATCTGCCTCCGCCGCCACTTATAAAGTTATACCCCCAGTGCACTGCATCGGTTATACCCCACCAACGAACTAGCATGGCAACACTCGCGCTCTCGCCTGTCTCCGCGCTGCACCCCCACCTCCGCGCTCCCCGCCCGCCGATCCGGATCTTTGACTTTGCGTTTCCGCGCACGGACCCGCGCGCACTGGGTGGCGGGGACGGCGTACCCCACGCCTGCAGGCCGGAGCTGCTGAACAGACGGCTGAATGGCTCGCGCTGCCCGAGCCCTGTCTCCGTTGCCACCGACAGCGACAGCGAGGACGACGATGACGACTATTATGAGCGTGCCCGGCGCCGGGTGGAAGCTTATTTTGGGCCATCGATAGCGGGCCCTAGCTCAGGTGCGTCTTTGTGGCTTTCCTCCCTGACCCTGACTGATGCGATGCGATGCCAGGGACCGGGATTCCGGCGGGGCTGTATCGGGCACAGTTCCCGTTTGGCGCGGAGGGTGGCGCGGCGGAGATGCCACTCGAAGTCGGGCAATTAGTCTATGTTATCGGCCCCATGGAGCAGGACGGTGCGTCTGGGCTCTTTGTCTGCATTCGCCTACCTAATTTAGCTACTGCAACAGGCGACCCAGACGCATCTGGCCCTCGTTGGGCAATTGCGCGCCGCACCCCGGTGGTTGTGCGGCCCGATCTAGACATATGGCAGCTGCATGCGCTTGTCGACGTGCGGACCAACATCCGCATCGTGTGGGCGTTGTTATCCGGCAGTTTGGATCAAAGTGGGGGTGGCAGGGGACTCGTGCCGGAGGCGTTCCTCGTACGCATTCGCGCCGAGGGCGAACAGGTAGAAGATGCCAGAGTCAGATTGGAGGAGTATCTGGGGTCCAGTGACACGTGGACCGCGCCAGAAGAGCCGGACGATGAAAGCCCAGAGTTGGAAGCGGAGCAATAAGTAACCGGGACATAAATGCTGCCTGCGAGCACTAAAATAAAACAGACATTAAGGCATCTCTTGCCCGTCAACTTGAGAAAAGTCTGACCATGTTTCGGTGCCAGCTCCTCATAGACTGCCTCCTATTCACAGTCCACTGAAATCGGCCTTGTCGCCATGTTTAGATTGACACCGTGGAGCTCAGGCAGCTGGGGGAATGGGCAACGCCGTCACGCATCTCCCGCTGACTGCGCAAGCACACAGCCTTCGCCCCCTTCTGGCGCAGTGATGTGCGCGGTTGGCGCGCCAGAGGCGTTGTTCTAGTGGGGACTTCGCGGGCCGCATTTGCCGGGTTCTGGACTTAGGGAGCGGGGAAGGTGGTTGATGCATGAGCAGCACGTGTTTCGGGCTGTGCGCCCGAGTGCCGGCTTTTCTCCCACGATGCCTCCTCCTTGACTTTTACCACCACCCCCGCTCGTCAGCGCGCGCGGTGCCCGCCAGTGCGGCCGTGGCCCGTGACTAGGGCCTTGAACATGGATGTCGCCGGGAACCTACACGCTGTTTATGCCAAGAACTCGACTTGATTAGTACGATTTCCAATTACAAAACTTCCGCCGTCACACCCCTTGTCTTCGGCTTGCCTTCGACAACAATGTCCGCGTCCGACTTCCCTCCCGAACTCTGGCCCGCATTCTTCTCGAGTGCCCCGCTTGTCGACCTGCTTGCCGTCTCCAGCGCCAACCGGCGCTTCCGCGACCTCACCAAGCCCCTCCTCTCCCTCTCCGCTATCACAGTCCAATTCCGCCTACACCCAGTCCTCGCGAGCATCACCTTCTCGCGCACAGTTACGACCCTGCGCCTCCGGGTCTTCAACTTCTTCGGTGTCGGCGATGTCGCGTCGCTCGTCGTGTTCTTTCCGAGCCTGCAACGGCTCTACCTCCGGTTTGGTGGCGGTAAAACTGCGGTATGCCGCCTTTCGACGTCGTGTTGGTGCATGCCATCTGATGCTTTTTTTAGTATGAGCCAGAATGGCAAGCCCTGCTCGTCAGCCCCGCGTTCCCGCGGCTTGGGTTACGGCGCTTGTCGTACGACCTGCAGTCCCGCGGGACCCAACGCGTGCCGAGCGCCATGCCGCAGCTCGGCGCGCTGCGTGATGCATATTACGTGTGCTTCCCGGCGCTGCGCACACTGGCTCGGTGGCGCGGACTGCTTGGTGTCCCGGGCCGCAGGGCGGATGGAGGACCGGTTGAAGCCCGCAACGGTGGCGACACCGGCAGGGCCCGATGATGAGATCGGGATCCAAACATGGCTCGATGAGCACAGTGTATTTGCGGATGACGCGTGGGAGGAGGAGGTCGGCGCTGGTGTTGAGCGGTTTTGACAATGACTGGAAGGATGGAATCCCTTGAAGTCACAATATGTTTTGATATATGCCTATCTTGGAACCGAGACTGTGTGAACTTCAGATAGAGTTCAGGGTAGCATGCCTACAGGCTGTACTCGAGTGTCAGTCTTCTGTCACGACTCACGAATAGGCCGATACTGCTCGGGGTAGTCCGAGGACCGAGGCCCATGCGGGTAATTGATCCATGAGTTAAATGGGGAAACTACTTCATAGTCCGCAGTCACTTGTAGAACTTTCAGAATCATACGATTCATAGTTATGCGCTGTTCCGCATACCAGAACCTGAAGTGGAAGAGCATCTCTATCCCATCAGGCTAGAAGTACTTATGATATGGGAGATAGGTACAATTATAGTTGCCACTGCAAAATTCAAAGCCATTTGAAAACCAGTATGAATAAATTATCTGCTCCTTAGCAGGCTTTGTATGCTTCAGAGAAGACTTAACCCTTTGTGGTGGATTCTGAATTCATCAAGCTGAATCAACTATCATCCATATATGGTGCGACCAGAGGTAAAAGAACCCTTATGTCAGATCAGCTTCTCGCTTGGCTAGATCGGCTTCGGATTGCCAAGCCAGAATCTTGTGTTTGTGGCTATCAATCATGGAATTTGGATTATCAAGATATAAAAAAGTAGGGATATAACTAGCAAGATAAGCCTTATTGCTGCACCATGCCTACTGCTTTCGCACGCACTCTTTCAATTCCCAGCTATCATACCGTGCAAAGCTGGTGGTCAGACAGGAATACCATTGGCACAACTTTTGACCTACACAGTGTAACTAAACCATTTACACGGTATCTACAAGGCCGGGCAGTAAACCAGTTTATCAAAAGTATCAATGACAAGCCTCTGGCCCCCGCAGACCTGTCATTGCTTGCTTGCTATCTCAGGTATGTGCCAGTATATCCTTCCTTCACCTGAACCTCCATTGAATATCAGTTCCAGATCTAGTGATGTCTCAGAGACTACCAAGGCACAAATAATGTATTCTCTGGACGCCAGATACGAAAATGCAAAACCTAACAAGTCCGAGAAGCTGCAAATTGCTAACTGGGCTATTTCTGAATGTGGAGAGCTCTTTGGCTCATTTTTGGTACAGAAGGATGGGAAGTTTCCCTCAATATATCGGGAGCTCCAGCTCAAAACCTCAAAGATAGATCTTGTACTGCCCATTAACCAGGCCCCACTGTGCACTGCAACGATCTTCCTCTTGTTGAAAATGTCTTCCATTGGCTGTTATCTGTCACATGAAATATTCCTTCCAAGTCTCATGGAATTTGGCGGAAGTGTATCTTGGTAAGAGAGAAATATACTTGAGATTTATGGATTTATGGATTCTTGTAGGCCAAGAAAAACTTGTCTTGTATTGGCCATCTTGTCTATCTTTAAGCCTGGTGCAAATGCACTTGCTCAGGCCCTCCACACGGTCAATGCTGCTCCGCATAATACTGACCCATTTCCTTCAATTAGGCTGGTCACGGTCACATGGGATTTTTTGGCCGAAATATTTCGGCGGGTCACGGGTCACAGTCAAATCTTTTGGTCCCAAAGTGTCCCAATTAGGATGATTTTCAAAATTTCCGCGCCTGCGGCGCGCCGAATTTCCCAATCAGGCAATAGGTCACGCGAAATTCGGCCTGCGGCCGAATTGAACATTTCGGCCAAACGGTCACGGGTCACAGGCCCGCTGAATTGATCGAAATAGGTCAGTATTGAAGGTGTTATCAGTGAAATTATGAGAATCCTCTTTCTCACAAGCATAGATTTAATCAGCTTAACAGACAATTATCTAGTAGGCAGCAAACAGATAATCAGACTCAGAGCAATCAGGCAAAAAACTATGTTGATCTATTCAATGCTATTTTTCTGTAAGTCGGAGAATATAAATTCACCTTCATTGTCAATTCTAACCAGAGATTCAACACTTCCAACATCTACAAGAGAGTGTGCTCATCTGCAAATTAAGGTAACAGACCATATATACATTGGAATATTAGCTCTCATTACAACTATATAGGCAATAGCACAGGCAACTTTCTGGTCATTAGGAGCTCCACCCAAGTCTATCCCCTTACCCACCTCAGTCTACCCTGAACCTAGACCTCTTAGGGTTATCAACCCCCCTCAAACCCTCCACCTAAGAGGCCCCAGAAAGTGGAGCCCTTCCACTGGTTGGGATTTTGCCACTGGGGGTGGAGGGTTCCCCACCTGTCACGTCACAATACTGTGGAGGTTACCACCCTAGCTGCCCCTTTCAGGCCTTTGGTTTTGCCTGCTTTATAGCCTCTATAGTGGTAATGAGCCAGTCTAGCTAAGTGATAGACCTTATATGATCTAGTAGCTACCTAGGGCAATGAACCTGACCCTGTGCACTGCCAGTAAGAGAGCCTGATGATAGCCCCAGTATCAGCTGGTATGAGCTGATTGAATGAATAGCTTCTTCAGAAAATTAAATGCTACTATTAATAAACTTAACTGAAGCCTTACTTATAAGTAAGCAGTCTCATTACATGTGGACCTGACTCTATTCACTACCCTAGCCAGCAACAGAGCCTAATGATAGTCCTAGTATCAGCTTATTAAATACATTCGTTATTTGAAAAAAAATTAAATTCTTTATAAAAGAAAAGACTACTAATAGTCTCATTACATAATCATATACCATTATACACATGTGATTAATAACTTATATTTTATAGCATTAATATTGGATGGTCTTGCTTGTGAACTCTGTATTGTGGCTTTCATTTAGATTATTGATTGCTGACCATCAGACTGGTGTTGTTTAGAATGAACAGAAAAGAAACCAGTAGCAAAAGGAAAAAAAGTGCACCAAGTAAGAATTGAACCTAAAGCTATCAAATTGATGCCTAAAGCTTCCATGAGCCACAGCCTGACACAGCAAGATGCTTTGACAAACCGGTTCCTATCATCATCTGCCCTCCTGCCATAACAGGAAATTGAACACCTCACATGATCATTGTTGATCAGTGGAGGGTTCCATTATGCTGGCAGGAGGGCTGGTGGACAGTTCCATCACCAGGGGTGGAGGGCTGGTGGAGGTTTCCATGGTGGAGCCAGCAGGGCTGGTGGAGGCATCTCCAGAGGCATGATGGATAGTCCCACTTAGCTGAGGGAAGGGTAATGGATAGTACCACAGGGAGGAAGGCCAAGCTATGGTTTGTGCCTCCCTTCCCTTGACTTCATCCACACCCCATAGCATTCTCCACAGGTGCCCTCCCCCAGACATGGCATTCTCCACCCTGGACAGGCACACCCTGGGGTTCTATCCACCCAGCTTCCCTCAGGCCTGTGGAACAATCCTCTCCCTCCTGGCTGGGACAGTGGCTCCCTCCATGTCGCGTCGCGTCGCGTCACGGTCACAAGCTGTTTAGGTAAGACAATACATCTATGAACAGATAAGACTGTCTACTTATGGTTGGCTTAATTCCTTTTTCCAACATAATCTGCAGGCATAAACTAATCATACACAGGACAGCCATCCAGGTGGCCCAGAATCGTGTTGCGGTCACGGGACATGTCGCGTCGCGTCGCAGTCATGGGTCCCAGCAAGCAAACTTCTTCTTATCTAGACAACCCATGATCCTGTCGCGGTCACGGGATATGTCGCGTCGCGTCGCGGTCATGGGCGCAAACTTCTTTTCCTCCAGGGGGCCCACGATCATGGTATCGCGGTCACGGGACGTGTCGCGTCGCGTCGCGGTCATGGGACCTCAGTCACTCTGAACGAACACGCTTTTAGCATAGCTTATGGGAATACATTCAGGTAATAAAAAAGTCATTGTCATCTTCTTCTCCTCCAGCTTCCCCATCTTCTTCTACAACTCCCCGATCCAACAGGCTCAGAACTGGAATGAGTGCTGGATCATCTTCCGCATCTTCCTCCAAGACTCCTTCACTCCCTGAATCTGAACCTCCATCCTCGGTTTCTGCTGGAGGGAGCCTTGCTAATCGCTCTCAAGATCGCATCACTTGATGGACCCCAGTCTGGGACACCAGGTGGCACGACCAACGAGTCGAGTGAGCGCTTCCACTTCAATAATAGATCGAGAAGGAATTCACGCCGACAGAGAAGCTGATAACCCAAGGGCTCTAAGGATAATGAGGACTTGATAAAAACAAAGTTAAGTAACATACCTTCGTTACAATTAGCCAAAGCTTCTCCAAGAGCTGCCCACTCTGTAGAAAGCCACACCCTCAGGTGTCCATGCTCGCGTCTCAACCGCTCTGACTCTTCTATCGCCCGTTGCTTGCGATGGAGCGCGCGAATCCACCCCCTCAGCTCAGCGTTAATTAACGCCTCAGGAAGTTCGCCGTCCTCTGGTAAGCCACCAAGTCCAACCTCCAGCCACAATGCATCGCTGGCGTCGAGGGAGAACACGTCCGATTCGTCTAACTCAAGTGGAGCAAGGGCTTTGGGCGGTGCCTTGCCACTTTTGATGAGTCTTTCTATCTTCTTGACCGAAGTGTTGTAAGTTTTCACTAGTTTTTTCAAACCAGGCTCGCGTTTCTTAATCGCAGCAGCAGCATGCTCGTTCTTCTTTTTCTCTAATTATTGTCAACTTTTGAAGATCATCCAGGAAGAAACCTCGTACCGCTGCTGGAGCGTCGCACTGAACGCTCAATGGGGTCGAACTCCATCTTGCGAGCGCGAAACTTCTCATGCCCAGTAGAGGCATTCACGACCTCGGAGAAGTACTCCTTGTAGTGAAGCAGCTTCAGTGTTGCCGTGTCGCCAGTCCCTAGCTTGTTCTCGTTCTTCCGCTTGTTCTTCTTGACCTTGCGGGAGGGCTCTCGAGCTCGGCAAGACGCTCCTGCTGTGCTAGAGCTTGGTCCCCCGTCAATTCGGCCAGAGAG